ACAGCTTAGTGATGAGTTGTGCAAAGTACACAGCATCCTGGCGTGTGTTTGCACAGTTGTCATATAAACACTTACCTGAGCTGTGTGCTCGTAGCTCTGACTTTGATTTACATTGTGGCTGATGACGGGAACGCATCAGAGCCCTGATCTATTTTTAGGGACACACGTGAAATGGTTTTAAGGGAAGTGGAACCGGGTTGCTTTGCCATGCAATATACAATGAATATATGAACTGTTTGGTTGAATAAAGGATACTGAATAATATTATAGTGAAAGTTAACAAATTATTCATTGAATTTTAATCATTACTCTTTTTTTCTTGAAAATGACTCTAATCAAGGTTGTTTGGCATGAAAAGATCATTAGTCCTCATGTCAATTCTATAGAGAATGCAGATCCTTCAGACAGCTTTTAGATTTCTGCAAACATTTCCAAATAAAAGTTATTATCAGAGGTTAAAGCCCAAAAGTATCAAGCATAGCAGCTTTGCTATTATACTTGTAACCTTCCTGTTATCAGCTGGAAGTCTTGCTCTCTAGCCTCCTGGATAAACCAAATGCATGTATTGGAAAATTTATTGTATTCAAAAAGCTATTCAAAAATAGTGTAAATTGCTGACACTGAGATGGTGTAAGCATTGTTTAAAAAGGAAAGAAAGCTCAAAGTAGTTGCCAAGAGATTTCTTGTGGCATTTTTATTAAACTGCTTGATAAACACTAATAAACAGTTAAAGCTCAGTGATCCATCTGTCTGCTGCATTTCATGCAGCCATTACTTTAAGTGCCTATTTTATTTTGTAGACACGAGTGGGATAATTCGGCGAATGGTTTGGCTGTATTTTAAATAAAATATTATTTCTTGCCAATACAGATTTGTGAACAACAAGCACAAACTTAAGTAGATCAAAGGGAAGGTAGCTGTTGGGAGTTTTTGTTAATAGCTGCAAAAACACAGAGGACGTTTCTCCACACAGATACCTTTAGTGAAGTTGAAACAAACCGTTGCAGATGTATGAAGTTCATATCCACCAAAAGGCCAACTGACTGCTCAGTGTCTGCATAACAGCTGAACACCTCAGAAGCTGTTTTTCATCTCGTATTCATCTGGTGTTTGTTTGAGAAGCTGTGCTTATTTTTTTTTACAGCTCCCTGTTTTACATGCAGACAGTTACACACCCGACACAGTCATCCCATGTTGGCCACCAAGCCGCTTCAGTGGAGCAGCTGTCTTGTTTAACAGCAACACGTCAGGGTTAGTGGTGAAGATGTGGTCAGCACTCTTCATTAATTCATTCCAGCCAGATGGAGGCATGACCAGTCACTTCAGACCGAGTCATGCTCACGCACTCATCCACTATCGTTAGTTTTGTAAAACATTATTGTTGTCTTTCCTGCTTTCTCAAAGTTCTTTCAGGAAATGTGTTTTTGATGCCCTGCCATGCTTGGTCGTGCCTCCTGATTTAATGTAAACGCTTGTAAGACAGGAGGAGGAGGGTGAGAAAAGGGGAAAAAAAGGGAAACAAAGTGACTTTGTCATTTGCATGTTAACTGCCACCTACATATGCAGCCCTGGAAAGTCTCAGAAACTAGACACCGATAACAGTTTGACTTCTTTCTTAGCTTTTCTTGTACAGATGGACGTTTCATATGTTACTAGTCGGGACAAAGATCCATAATTAAAGTCAAGACACAACTTCTATGTTGGCCATTTTATTCCCTGCATATAAAACTCTCCATAATTTGAAGATGGAAACTGTGTAGGCATCTCATACATAGTTTGAGTAACTTCAGAAATCTTTATTTTCTATCACAAAGTGACTTCTGAGTAGGTGTTTGTGATTCATTGACCATGCTTTGCAGATAGATCACTGTGGAGTATAACCATGATGAGAAATGGCTGCTAGCTGAGTAGGAAGGGATGAAGCACTGAACCCTCTTTAATATACATGAGTTTTCTATCAGCCTTATTTGGTGTTATGCAATGAGACCTAAATGGTGAGGAAAGAGGAGATTACCAGGGCTGTCCATCTCTGCTGCAGGCTGTCATTCAGAGAGTCCGCTCAACCTCCTGAAACCCCATAATCTGGTGACTTAGTCCCGTTTAACCAATCCAATCCCTTTTCCTTGTTGCTCATGTTTGTGTGCCTTCAACTTTTATCAAAAGGATGCTATAGCTTTGTATAGCTTCATTATTAATCTTTTTCAGATGTGTGAAAATAAATATACAATGTCCTTAAACATGTCTATTTAGATTTGTGGCGATATTTAAAGTTATAGTTACATTAACTTCTGTTATTCTTCTTCTAAATATGAACATGAGAAGAAGTTTTACTAACAAAGTAAAATTTACCTTGTGCAATCTTGGTTTTATATGATATTTAAAAGATCTCAATTTTCCCTTTTGGGGAAAGAAAAAAATTATTTTAATATAGTGGTTAAAAATCTAACCTTTACTTTACTACTCAAATATTTTCCAAGTTTGTCTCTCCTCAGCTCACCCCACAGTCCTCCAATAGGAATTGCATATGGAAGTTAGAGGGGCATGGGAAATGGTTGGTGTCCTTTCAGATGCAACATTTCCAGGTTGATATAGAGATACTTATTTAATGTGCTGGTGTGTGATGATGGTTCTAGTCCACAGCTTTACATACTTAATATCAATGCTTTAGGGTATCAAATCTTTACAAACATCAGACGCTTTATGGTAGTGAAACACACAGGGCTGGGCAAATAACTGCATTTGCAATATAATCCCAATTAAACAAAATATTATTTAGAAACTACAAAGCAACAAGTCGTGTTACATTTAACTGAAGTATGACACTGACTTTCTCACTCCATCCCTTTAGGTGACATTAATACGCTTCAATTTGGTTTGCCGCCACAAAGAAGGGAAAAGATAGTTGCAGGTAGCATGCAAATCCTTGCATTAGTAGAAGTTCTTAGATAATTTGATTGACAAAAATTACCACCAATGATTTTAATATTATACTTTCTACATTTCCTGTATATTTATATTTGCTTCTGAATAAACATACTGATGATAAAAGTACAGTGTAAGTTTCTGCTTCTGCAGTATTTAATTATATTTTAGGGCTTACACACATTCAATAAACATGTTCACCTTGTTTATGTGGGGCCTTTTGCTGTTAAGGTATCGCTAGGTATTTCAGAGACAACATACAGGCTGATAAAGTTGTATTTCTTATCTGAGCCAACCTTGTTATTCTCTCTGAGCCTTCAGTTTGACTGTAGCTAAAAAAAAAGATCTAGTCCACGCAGAATTTGGCAATCTACTACACTCCAATAGTTTGTTTTGCTTAGTCGTGTCAGATTTATTGACCACCCAGGCAACAGAATGTTAGTGGGAGACTTGCACAAACATTTTTAAACACACGCAATGGCACATAAACTGTTTCAGGCTCGTACATTTGGGTGCACACATGCTCATGAAAACAGTCATATACCCGCGCCTACGGTCTCATTCTGCGCCTCCAGCTCTGCATTTCCTTCGAGCAGAGGGTGGAGAGAGAGATGAAGGGATAGACAGGAGGGATGACTGGCCATGTTGTTTCCCTCCAGTCAGGGGAAAGAGTGATTGCAGGAGAGAGGAAAGAGGCGGAGGAGAGGTGGAAAGGTTTTTTTGAGCACCTAACCCTTCCATAAAGCCCACTTATACAATGACTTTCAATTTTAGTTTTAGAGTACATTTGTGTTTCCTGCAGAGAGCTGCTGCAGAAAGGCGCTGACCTAATGACAGTATGGGGAAGTGGTTTAGAAAAAGTCAATGAGAGTCGTGATTAAGACAAAACACAGAGCTGCACACCCTGATGCAGTCTGTCACCGTCTCTTTTCAGATCCGTTAATTTCCCAGCTAATCTTTTTCCAGAGTTGTGTTTCTATGGCTTTTAATCTGGATATTAGAGCAGAAGTGCATCCAATCAGACGGTGCCACTAACCGGAAGCTTTGCCCCACGAACTTCACCCACAGTGATCAGTGAAGGTTTTGACCTCAAGGTTCCCTTTTAAAGCTGCTGTGCAGATCACTGATAAAGCAACAAAACAATGAGATGCTGCTGCGCTAATATTCCTCTGTTATATTCCTCTGTAATCTGTTATTGCAAAAGTACCATTTATCGTACAGTTCACATTGTTTTATTTTTCTTTATGTCTCAGTTAATTCAGGCCAAACATTTAAAGCTGTTTTTTTTTTTTTTTTGGTTGTCCTTTTATAGGATAAAATACAGCTTTTTTCAGAGCTGCCTGTCAGAAAATAATTGAATAGTGCATTTATAAGAACTCTTTCAATTTACTCATATATTCTTCACTCTTCTATTTCTGTATTTCTTTATGCTTTAGCATCTCAGTAAAAAGTCCTATCAGTTTGGCAGATATGACACCGACGTGTAGTGTGAATTTATGGTACTTGAAACGCATTAACTCAACATATATTGCATAAAACTGGTCCTTCATCATGGTTATATTGCAGCCCCATAATAAAGCTCTATATGGTGCCGCACTAGTTTTGAGTTTCAAAATGATTAAGAAAGATAAAAGGTAATAGGAGGAACTATAGAGAATTTTAAAATGTGTCTGACATCTGAGTTAAAAGAAAAATAAAGCACTTAATGCAATGGTAGCTTAAATACAATTTGATCCATTGTAGTCGGAGTGCTAATGCTTACATAAGTAGATTGTGCCCTTGAGATGTTGAAATTTTCTTTTTGATGTTTTGCTTGTTTTTTCAAAGATAAATAAGACCATAATCAGAAAGTTGCTTTGAAAATGTTGGGAATTCTCAAGACAACTGCGAGAACATCTCTTGAAGAGAACCGAAACTAACAAATAAATAAAAAAAACGGTCATTGCATACTATTACTGGCATGCTCTAGAGGAAGTTTTGTGGACAATGTCCCCATAATCTTCTTGCAGGTTGAATCTCTGAGACCATCAGGCAACGATTTAATCACATGAACTCACTCTTTGCTGCATCTGCTGCAGGGTTCGCCTTTCCAGAATGGGCCTACAAGCCAGAGTCAAGCCCAGGGTCCAGGCAGATCCAGCTGTGGCACTTCATCCTGGAGCTGCTCCGGAAAGAGGAGTACCATGATGTCATCGCCTGGCAAGGGGACTACGGGGAGTTTGTCATCAAGGATCCGGACGAGGTGGCCCGGCTGTGGGGGGCAAGGAAGTGTAAACCACAGATGAACTACGACAAGCTCAGCAGGGCACTGAGGTAGGCTGATGGTTAAACTGGGTTTTAGCTGTTTATGGGAGGGAAGCTTTACTTTCACTACTTCTTTTGTACATTTTAATGTTTTGTACATTTAATGTATATCGTTTTGTTATTTGCTCATTCCATTTGTTTTTCTCTCATTTGAATTAATCTGATTGGTGGCTTGCTGAAAATAAGAAAAAATAAAAAAATACATCCAAATTAAGACACCCTACCATTTAGAGACCTTCTAAGTCTCTTTTTCTAGATTCTTAAAAAAATGGAATAGAATGAAAGCTTAGATGCATAAATCCAGAATCTAGATAATCTTGTAATTCACTAATATCTTTAACTAACCTTTTTTTAAGGATTGTGCAGTACAGTTATTCTGATCTGAGTAGGAAAAATATCAGATTGAATCTGCAGCTCAAACATGAAAGGAAACCAGAAGCTGGTTTCAGCCAATAACAGATGGAAAAAGAAGTGATTGTCAAACCACCATAAACTGGTTCGAGTTTGAATAAATGGAGAAGCTGTTTTTCTTCTTCAAAGAGGTAGAAATTTTTGTTAAGATGCAGAGAATTTTTAGGAAACAGCTGTTGGTGAGCTAAACATTATAATATTCTGCTTTGTATACTACTAATTACAGAATGATGAAAGTAAACCATCAGCATCGACTGTAATAAAAAGTTTTCTACCATTTTCTTTTCTTAAACCACAGCTGTAATGAAATTGACTTGAAGTGAACAGTGAGCCTGTACATTTGAATCTCTCCATCCTGGGACAATAAAGGCTGTTATTCTAATGACACATGGCGGTTCTTTAGCCTACAGCCGTAAAGGCTCCCCCTTTGATCTTAAATTGTTCCCAAATCCCTGTCCTCATGTTGACACTTTGCTTGCAAAGCAATGAGCTAATTGGCACGACTGGATAAATTTAGCTGCTTCTATTCTCCAAGAACTATTACAGCATTAACCCAATTGGCCAGTAAGGCTTTTACACCTTTTGGTTGAGGTTTTATCCGCCAAGTCCATTAGTCTATTATAGGGATGTCTTCAGTCTGAAGCCCACACAGTTGCCTTCTAGATTCTTTTTCAGGGTGAAATGAGGAAAGCCTCATGCATGATAAATAGGACTCTAACCATCAAGTGTTCTGGTATTTTACAACAAAGGGGAGAAATTATAACATTGTCAATGATTGTTGAAGAAGAAACTAATAATTCACTAATGCTTCACTAATGATTTGAATGTTTTCTACAGTCTGTAAAATATGTGTTTTTGTTTAGCCTCGGAGTAAATATGAGTTAATATGCTATAAATCATAGCCATTACGTAAATGTGCAAATTGTAGATTTTGCAAATGAAGACGTTTTCTGTGTCGGTTTCTGCTTGCTCCTCAAACAGAATCTAATCTGCGCTGCATAACCCCGAGGAACTCCCCTAATCCATCCTAGCTGAAAACAGCAGGCCTCATTCACAGATTCTTTAGTTTCCCGCTCATCGTGTCTTTATTAAGACGGCCCAGATTAGATTAAGCACTTTAAAGAAAGCCACATGAGGGAAGGAAATGCATCACTTTGCATCGTCAGCGCAGCGTGAGGACGCTCATTTACTGGTGAGATTAGGACGATGTCCGTTACAGACGAGGTCCCATGAGGACGGCCTGCATTAGAGGGGACTGCTTATTTTTCTCCACATTTAACAGCACAATTACTGAGACTTACAATCTGGATTTAATCCCTGACTTGGATAGAATAGAATATGGACGAGGTTCTTGTCTGGCTTTGTATTTATAGGATGTCCATCCTTTTGAAGCTTGAGTAGATTTGGAGCTTAGGCCTCAGTAAGTGCCTATATATAGTGGGTCTTAGTGCCCTCTGATGGACCAGCCTTGGAGGCTTATTACCGCCTCGTTCTTGGTACAGTCGTGTCCAAACTTCCTGCCTGCAGGCCCCATTAGAGGAAAGAAAACATATATATTAGCTGGCGTTGTTTCAGGGTTATGAGCAGAAGGATCAGTGAACAAGCACACTCAACTGTCACCTCATTTTAAACCACAGCTGCTTTCACTGTAAGAAACTTCATCACTGAATCCCCTTAAGACAAAAGTAGTAAAGCAGTAAGACGACTAAAGATTGAAGTTATAAGAGGAGCCCTCAATCACACATGTGCATGGTAACCGTCCCCATATGGAGCAAACTGCTGGATAGCAGACTTCCTTGTGCCCTTCATATGGAGAAAACCTGCGGTCTGCTAATAATGGAGCCCACAGTCAGCATGTGGCGGCGAGCCCACTCATACAAATCCACACTTGAAAAGACCTGCTTGTTTTGAAGTGTTCCTTTTATCACTTAGCCTTTGTAATTATTATTTTTACCCCGGTGTTCCTATTCTTTTCTGCCTGTAAGGCACATGTTGGAAATTCCCTTAATCAGGACGCCTTCATTGTGTGTGGACATGTGCGTATGTGCCGGCTTTCCGCTGAGGGGACGCAGCCTCGGACAATGCGTCATCCTGGCCTCCCGCTCCCACGGCTGCTGTGAAATTCCCACTCCTGTTGAGAGGATTACTCTGAAACGGTGCGAGTGTTCATGTGTTTGTGTACAGCAACGTGCCAGTGGAAGTGGTAGATGTTGCAAAATAAATGTCCTTTTTAAGGTAGTATATGTGAATTAAAGTGGATGTTTTGCCTTACAGAGATATTATTTTGTTTCCCCTGAACCATTATTTACCTGACAGCCAGAAATCTTAATGGATTTTATTTAGATTTTTTTATTGATTTACACCAAGAAGTTGGAAATTATAAAGGGAAACTGAGTTCTCTAAGATTTTAAAAATAAAACATTTAGAGGTGGCAGTATTCTTCCTGCCTGAACAATTTTTAGGTTTAACTGCAATTATAGCTGCAAGTCTTTGGTGGTTTTTCTCTACCAGCTTTAGCCTTACTCCTTGCAAAGTAGCTCAAGCTCAGTTAGACTGGATGAAGGACCTCTCAAAGCATCAATTCTAGTGCATATGCCACACACAGGACTTTTGCCTAGAATTGGATTGGGTTTTTCTAATATTAAGATATCCTTTGACTCTTAACAAACAACCCCGACTGCATGTTTAAAATCCTGGAAGGTGAACCCCAGGCCTTGTCTCAAGTCTTTTGGAGTCTCCTCCACTTTATCCATATTGTCACCTCTTTCCAGCTTCTTTATCTGTGCTAAAGAAACTTACCCCACAGCATGATTCTGCCACTACCTTCCCAGCATAAGGAACGGTTTGCTGTTCAAACCAGTTCTTTTCTGAACAGAGCACCCTCCTCCTTGCTGCCTCTTCCTGTGGTTTGTGGAGAAACTCAGCGAACTTGAACTATCTTCTCTGAAATATGGACATGCCGACTGCACAAAAAGTCGTTGTCATGCCAACAGATGCCCCTACCTGGGCAGTGAATCTGCAGCTCCTCCAGGGTTATTGTTGGCTATTTCTGTCACTTATATTCTCCTTGCCTGGATTATGTGTATGGTCATGTTTTAACTGGCTAGCGTTAGCTCTTTTCCCCTGCCCTTTTAATGTGTTTCTTGCCCTTTATGTCGATGTTTGCTAACAGACCTCTGAGGCCTTCCCTGTGTTTCTGTATTTACACTAAATTATACAAAGATTGACTCTTTTGCAAATTATTGGACTTCCAAAACTCATTTGCTTCACTTAGTTTTTTCAGGAGTATCAATGTAAATGGGGCTAAACACAAATGCATGTAGCACATTAGATTTGTAATTGTAAACCTATTTTTAAACATCATTTGATCTCCGACTTTCCACTGTGCAGTTATATGCTTCTTTGTGTTGGTCTAAGCTATGTTTACATGCGCAAAATTTTACCGATCTGATCTAAACCTTAGTTTATTGGAAACGGTAAATCTCTCTTTACATGGACACTGAATCAAATGATCCGATCATGAGAGGTGTGTACATGTACCAAGCAATCCGCTCAGATTAAATCATTAAAGCAAGCACAGAACTGCCCAGTTTTCCAAAAAAACTGAGGAAAAATGTCAGACGGATGTAAACGTGCGCAGTGGAGATAATTTTACTCTGAATGGCTGTTCATGGACATGTACATGGAATGTGGTCACTGGGATAGTACAGGGAATGGTTACATGGACGGTAATTGGAATGACCGCCTCTCTCTTTTGGACTGAAATGTCTAAATTGAATGAGAATCTTCAGTCTAAATGTTTACATGAAACATTTTGATCTGATCAGGCCTCCAATCCCATTGTTTCCATGTAATCATAGCTAATGTTTCAGGTACATATAAAACACCTCTAGTTCCTCGCCCCCTTAGCTTTCTAAAGGTTTACAGCCAGTGGGGCTAATGAACGAAGAAATGGGCACAATCTGTAACCTTCAGCTCCAGTTTATTGGTGGTTACTTGAAAGAAGAAACGACTAAACCTGCTTGTTTCACTTTCTAGTCTCATGAAAGCGAATGGCTGCGATGGGCCAAGCAGGGTGGGGGTAAATGAAGCCTGTTACCAATCATGCATTTTAGAGCGCTGGCCTAATGAGTGTAATCATGCTAAGAGGTCCCAGCTCCCTTAGACCCTTCAGACCTCCCGTGTCGGACCAGTCAGCAGCCACCGTTTGCACTCTGGTCAGAGGTCACGGCGACTGCCACGCACAGCTGGTAAAGATTACCAACACAGCTCATGCCCTCATTGGTGTACACAAACGCACCATTGTACACGCTGTTTGCCAAGCACAATTGGTTCTTTTCCAGCATTTATTTAATTGACGGTTTTCATGATGTGTGATACTTTTGCAAACTTTTAACGATGCGCATTTGGTTCTACCAGAGTGACCACATTTACAAAACGTTGCAGGAAATGCTGCTGCATATGCACACTTCACCACACTGGTAGGGCCTGTTTATGGGTCAGAGGTTCTCTGTTTACAGCTGTGCATTTAGTAGAAGCAGCTAGCGCCTGCAGGGAGAGAACCACTGCGTGACTTTCAGTTTTATGTGCATGTGTTG